CCCAAAACCCCAAAACCCCTTAGATCAACAATAAATAATTTGAAATTTAAAATTGTAATAAAATCATCTAAATGGATAATTTATCAGCAAAACATAAAAATTTACCATGCCAAATGGTTAGTACATTTATCACATCTTTCTTTATTTAAATTAATACTTTGCAGGAAGATAATGCTAATGAATCTAGTAATTATTCAGAAGAAAGAACTTTCATAGTTCACGATTCAATTGTGACTGAATCACCAAGTTGGATGAAATACGAAAATCTTAATACAATGCAGAATCATGACTCTCAATCCAGTGATTAATCAATCTTTCCATCCAGATTTAATCCCTAGGTTTAATAGTAGGACGAATCCTGCTCTGTAAATGATTATGATGTCTCTTTCAATAGAAGCTAATTGAAAAAGAACTAGATGACCAAACTTTTGCCATAATTCTTAAATGGAATAAAAATTGCCCAGGCAATTAGATCTCCAAAAGCAGAATAAATGAAAGAAAATCAAGATTCTAACATTAAACAGCTTGATTAATCAAACCAGCTTTTGGATGCAAATCAATCTACAAAAATTATAAATCAAACTTATGCAATGAGATTCTAAAATCAAACAGAATAAACAAGGCCATTAATAATTTCAGAGTAGTCTTCGTTTTGTCAGATCGTTAAAAAATCACACTTCGGCTATCAAACTAATAAGGACTCTGATAAAAATTATCTTAAGATAGAAATGACTATCCCGCCTAAAAATCTACTTAAATAATTCACTCATAATCTGCTAGAAACATATAAAAAAATAGAAAAAAAGACAAGGAAAAATAAAATAAGGCAGAGTATGTCATCAAGCGAATGTATGTAACAAATATTTAGGAAAGATCTATTAGTGAATAAAAGGTATAAAATCATAAAGTAAATAGGCAAAGGTGTCTTCGGTGTAGTCATACAAGCAATTGATCTAAAGTAAAATAACAAAGTTGTAGCAATCAAAGTACTTAAAGACTCAAAAGATTGCAGAGATTAAGCTCTAAGAGAAATTGAAATGCTTAAACTTCTAAATATGATTGATCATGAAAAGGGATTTATAGTAAGATATATAGATAGCTTCAAGTATAAAAAGAGAAATTTTTGTCTAGTCTTTGAATCCCTTGAGATGAATCTATACTAACTTCTATCTCTCAAACGTGATAAAAAAGATAATAATAATTACAAGTAAAAAGGATTAAAATTGGAATTTGTTAAGATTATAGCTTATCAAATATTAGTTGCACTTAGTTTGATGGGAATGCCAAATATTAACATTATTCACTGTGATCTTAAGCCAGAGAATATAATGCTGAAAGAACTTGGTAAAACTGGAATTAAGATCATTGATTTTGGAAACGCTTGCTATTCAAATCAAAAGATGTTTAAGTACATCTAATCGAGATACTATAGAGCGCCAGAGATTATTATGGAGTTACCTTACTCAACTTAGATTGATATATGGTCTCTCGGCTGCATTCTCTATGAGTTGCATTTTGACGATGTTTTATTTAGAAGTGAGAACACCTCTAATAAGTTCAATCAGCTTGAAAAAATAATCGAAGTAAAGTAAGAATTTCCTACTTAGCAAATGATTGAGAACTCACCTTTCAAAAGTGATCTTCGAAACTTACACCTTCTAAGTAAAATCAAGCAATCAGTAAGCAAGGCTCAGATTTAAACTCTTCTTATAGGGTATAGGATTTGAAAACATTCTAAAAAAGAAAATCCAGGATGACCCAGACTTTTAGTAGTTTTATAAAAGGAATGCTTGCGAGTATAACAGATTTTTCAATCTATTATCATTGATGCTCGAATATGATCCTTCTAAAAGATTAAGACCAATGGAATGTCTCAAGCATCCTTTCTTTGTGGTAAATTTAGATATATTCTGAAATCTTTAGCATAAATCATTTCAGGCTTAGACTATTGAGAGCTATTATAATTAAATTAAGATTTAAGAAAAAGTACAGGATGCATCATCGATTCGAGGTAAATATATTTAAATTTCATCTTGCCTCCTAAAGATTTCAATTAAATAGAAGAGTTAAATGATTCTTAATCAATAATCAGTGACTCAGACCTTGCTTCGACTCCTGATGATGAAAATAATGATAGTGATAGTATAGAGGATGAAGACCTTGATAGACTAGATATTGCTAATGAAATTGAGACTATGAATCAAAGAAGCAATAGATTAATTCCTTTAAATCAAATGAGTTTTGGTGGAAAGTTAAACATAACTAATAATCAACCATTCACATATGAGCTTAATAACTTGAGACGCTTGGGCACTATTGATTAAAACGAGTATGAAGAAGCACTTTAGAGACTGCAAAAAGATCAGGTTTTGCAGGTTAATAAGGAATATACAGTTCATGTGAATAGAGATAAAAACCAAATTATAAATTTCCTAATGCATACTGAATAATTTAACGAGTCGTCATTGATTGATGGCAGTGATTAAAAGAGCTAACTGCAGGAAGATAGTTTATTTAATTAGAATCAAGCTGATCAATTTATGGAATTGAATGCTAATAGATTATTTCCTTTCACATATTTACCCCCTGCACCTGTGCCTTAGTAAAATTTAGATTAAAAGAATATTGGATTGAGAAATAACATGTTTCTAAGATAAAATTTAGATGAGTCCTCATATGACTAAAATAATAGTCTTTCTGGAATAGATGATAGGTCTAATAGCAATAGTGGGTATAATGTTAGAGATGATACCTCAATGAATTATTCAAATCGTCTTGTTACCTAGAATAATCAACACCAGACTAGATTCTAAAACTACTCAGCTCAGAATTCGTTCATGATTACTTAATAGAATGCTCAGAACTCAAGGCTAACAACATTTTAAAATCTATTGAATGATGACACTAATAATGACTAAGAATCAAGATAAAAATATCATCTGATGATAGCAAACTATTAGGATTAGAGTTTAGTCAAGGGATAAACAATAAATAGCCCACCTTCACATGTTCAAACATAGAGTCCTTTTTATTCTCACAATGGAGCATCATCTAATGTGAAATTGAAATACTCACACTTAAATAACACTGATAACAATAAAAATCCTTGCGAGAGTTTCTATACTAATCTGAATGTAACTGACCCATTTACAACATAAGCCATAATGAATAATAAGAAGAGATAAGGGGATGAGGCATACTAAAATAATAATGACTCCTCAAACGTTTCCTAAGAATTTCCTTAAAACATAAATAACCAAAGAAATAGAATCCATAATCTCTAAGATAGTCTTGAAAATCAGAGTATGGAAAGTAAATATGTTCCTGTAGTATCTGCTAGAGTGAATCTTCACCATAATAATCAATAACTAATTCTTGATAAAAGTCCTGTAATTTAAGGGATAAGCAGAACAAATACAATAGATAAAGGTTTAGATGACTTAAATCCTTTACTAATGCTTTCAACCTAATAATCTAAAGACTATGGAAGGAATCTATTTCTAACTAGATTTAGGTCAAACTGTGCTTCCCAGAAATCATTTAACAATGAAACTAACGACCCTTCTCCAATTAACTGCAAGTATACTATCTCACCAATAAATTAGTAGAGAAGAGACGATGAGGCTGATGCCTAATATGACAATGATCAGATTAACTGGGGTCTAAGCCATGCCATAAAGACATTAAGAATAGATAATGTGTTAGATTCTTTCAAGAAATGAGTTAATCAAAATAAATCTGAACTTAGATAAGGAATAAAGTTTTCTATTTTAATTAAGCTTTAAGTATATTTATAAACACATCTCCTCAATCTCTACAATAATATTGCCTCTAATTTTGTCACATTTTTTTATCTTATTACTGTGTTTAATTCTTTCTATCAAGAATATCTTCAAAAATATCCTTGAATTCTTCCTTAAATTAAGAGTAACTTCTACTATGTGAGTCTTATCTTATCTACTATTTTTTCTCATCTTTCTTCCTAGCAATCTCTAATTTCCTTTTCGTCTCTTAACTTAGCCTCTCGTTTAATATTTCTTGATTCTTAGCATCATCTTATGGAGTCTTAGAATTTACTTCTTAAAATTCATTAGTTGCCTAATCATTTTTATCAACTTTTATTCTTCCAGTTTAGACTTCATGTTTATATAGTTTTTCTGATGTTCTTAGATACTCGAAGTAGTATTTAGCTTATTTCAACTCATCATACATGAGAATATTAAAGTCCTTATTCTTTTCTTTATCCTTTTCTCTTATCTTTTTATATTCCTCAAAATACATTATCTCTAACTTGTCTATTTCAGTCATCTCAATGACTGCAGATGTTTCAGGTTCATCTGCATCTAATTACTTTGGCTGAGATCCTGGCACCCAATTCTCAATTTTTAGCATCTATTCACCCTATTCCAAAAACTAAAACTTCTCCCTCTCATACTTTTCTTCGAGTATTTTCATTTTCTCTTTATATTCTTCAATCATTACTCTCTGTTCCTCGTCCCATGCTATAGCTCTCTCTATAAAGGCATCATGCTCAAGATACAATCTTTCGAGTTCATGCTAAGTTGGTGGCTAATTATCATTCCTTCTGAGCCAGCCCAAGAAATGTGGATCGATGTGGAACTTATTTGTATCAAAGAACTTATACATGACCATTCTTCGAGTTGGCAAACCATGGAAACTGTAGTATTAATAGTACGAATTCCCAAATTTATCGATCCCAATTAATTCTCTCCCCATTGCATCATCTCTTTGACTTATATACCATTGTCTAAAGGAGCTTCGTTTGCTAATAATTCTAAGAGCAAGCTTTTCTGCCTTTTTAAACAATAAATTTTTAATGGCTTCCATAAAAATTATTAAAAAATTAGAAAATTAAATCACAGAAAAGATATAAATAATTATTAAGATAGTCAATGAAATTAAAATAGTAATAAACTGAGTTTTAGTTTGATGCTTTTAGTATATTTAATTAATAGATTTAAATTAGAGATATAATTTTTGATAAATAGAGAAATTTAATGGATATTCAATCAATCATAGAATGGGGTAGAAAGAAAGCAGATTATGGCCCTCATAAAGCTCACATCTATCAATAGTGGATTGCATACACAATGGGTTTCTTTTTTGCGACATATCTCTTGTTTTTTGGAATAATGATGGTGTTAAGTCCAAAATTTAGAGAGGCTAGTAGACAGAAAAAGTGTGATTACATTTCAAGGATGACGTCCAATATCCATGCAGTTATAGTATCAACTGTTGCAGTGTATGCTTCTTTTTTCTGCTGGTATTTTTGTTATTCAAATCTTTATACCAAAACTATAGTGATGATAAGACCTAAAATATCTTGACTAGTAGAGAGTGTTTTGAAAACCCGACATAATTTAATGAGGTTTAGACTCTTTTCACTTGCGGCTATTTTGCTTTTGATTTCATAGTGACTTTGTTCTTTATGTAAGAATTCTAATAGTTTTAAAGGTTTAGTAATGATTTCACTCCATTGGGATATCAAACATACATGCACCATATTATTGGAGTAATGGCATATTACTTAGCAGCAGTTTGCCCATTAAAAGGTTCTATATCAATGACTACAGGAATTACAATAGTTGAAATCTCAGCACCTTTTATGCACTATAGGTAGTTCCTATTTTTCCATTCTCTATAAGATTCAGTTCTCTTTCCAATAAACACAGCTTTCTTTTTCGCTAGTTTCATGGCATCAAGAGTCATTTTCTTCACGATATTGACTTTAAAGACTACATACTATTATGTTGATAATTTGACAGCTGTAAGTATTTAGATGTTTATCTGAATTTTTAGCCTAATGATGTCGTCAGTGTTAATTACAAAATTGCTAATGTAATCTAGCTCCTATGTCAACTGATAGCCATAATATTGAACTATTATTGGTTCTATTTAATGAGTCTTGTTTTGAAAAAGTTGATCCTTGGAAAGAAATCTTAGACCAAAACAAAACATGATTGAATGTCCTCTTGTGCATAACTCTCTGAAGCCAGTACCTCTGTCTTGAGACTTATTTGAAAATTAAAAATTTGGAATAATTTCTATATTTTCATCAATTTTATTCTATTTTTGATTTTCTAAATTTTACTAAGAATGGCAATTTAAGGGGTTTTGGGGTTTTGGGGTTTTGGGG